TGAGAATAGACTAGTCTAAAGGTTGTACAATTACGTGGTTGGGACATGTCTTGCATCGACCTTAAGAAGCTCTGTTCATAATAGTAGAGCGATCTCAGCATAACAATAATGTTTCACTAAAAAAGCTTACCCTGTGCACGGACCATTTAATTCTAGTAGAATAAAGTACAAAATGAGAGAGAAGGGAATCAACAACCTTTGGACTCAGATTTCTGTTCCTTTTGTTTCGGAATTTCCTTCTTTTCTTTGGGGTAAAAATTCTCATAATCTGTCAATAAAAATGCACCAACATATAACAAAGGTTCAAACTTTAGCACCCACATTTTCTAGGAGAAAAAGATGTAAGAAGCAAAAAAAGGGAGACCCTTACTTTTCTTCTTGGGAGCTTCACTCGAGAAATATCTACGGAGTCTGGCGTTTGCAACAATATAATTAAAATCTGGTAAATGATTATTAGAAAATGACCCTTTATTGGCTACTATTGCAGCAGAATAACCCCTCAAAAACCCTAACTTTCCATCAAATTGATCGATTTTCTTAAAGTTATTTACATACGGAGTTCCAAAAAGTTCCTGGTTCCTTAGCAAGGCCTTTCCGATATTAAAACCATTTATCACATTCTGCACAATCCAAAACCAAAAACATGAAAAATAAATATCAGCTTAAACGATAACAAATTTTTCGATACATACATTAACAGAGAAAGGAGACAAAGATAGCATCTTACACTTGAACGCGAAGACCGAGATAATGAACGACTGATTGTTGAAAATATCATTCTTGAAATTACAGTGAAGAATTATTTATTAATCGATCTATTGCGGAAAATTACTATATAAATCAATTGCAGAGAAAGAGGAAAAAAATGGAAGGAATCTGGGGAGGGATTGTGTTATTTTCTTTGTTAGCATTGGGCAAATACTACTATGAGGAAGTTGTGGGCGGTATTAGGATGAGTCGTCGACCTTTGTACCTTGGAGAACAAGACATGCTCTGTTAGCCCATGGAAAAAGTGGGCGAATTTGGGAGATTTTTGAATAGTAAATTGATAGGAGATGTGTAGTTGAAAAATAAGGATTATTTTTATTTATGTGTAATATTATTTTAATAAAGAATGTGTGGTTAAAAAGAAGAGAGAGAAAAATCTATTTTGAAAAAAATGAGTACCAAACGAGGCCTATAATTCGATAAAGCCCACGTCTAATACGGATTAAAAATTAAATTTTTATCTAAATGGGACTAATAAAATGTGTTGGTTAATTTAACACTTTAAGTATGTATTGTGGTCGATGTAGTGGTATGTTGGCATGTCATTTAGTGATCGCGTGAAAGATTCATTCCAATATGGCTATCAATTAATCCATCAATTTGAGAGGCGATGATTGACAAAATGGTAAATTTGAAATTGAAATTGAAGTTTAATGACTCAATTAAAATTTCGCTGCAAGTCCAGTGACCGCAGATAAATTTTATACATCATTCCTTTTATAATTCGTGCGTATCAAAAAATAAGGGCAATTTACTGATGCCCCCTTAAATTATGAAAATGTCACAATATCTGCTACAAATAAATTTATTAATCAATATGATAAATTGATCGAGTACATATTTCAAAAATTCATAATTTTAACCATGAAACATAGCTATTGTGTAGAGAAAGAAATAAGTATCTTATGCTATGTATGTTGTAAGAATTTTGTGAATAGTGACGCCGAAATAAGTATAATGATGGTGACAAAGCCGAGGCAAGAATTGAACTCTTTGTCCTTAAGTCGAATTTGCCCCGCAACGGTGCCTACGGATTTCGGCAATCGACTCCCAAGATATAACGGCTACACTTGTGTTTGTAGCACTCCAAAACACAAGTATAACGAACCAAATGTAGGCTTATGTACTCCACAGATGAAATAAAAGAAAATCAAAATAAATGAAATGATTTTGATTTTGGATAGAAGAGAGGATGAGAGACGTTTTTGCATATCAAACTGTGAGGAATAGAACACCCAAAGGGTCCTATTTATAGACCATGAAGGGGTGTGGACGAAACGGTTGAGGCCAAACCATGCACCCTTTCCAAAAAATGCACCTTTATGAAAAGGTGTCTATTCACTAATGGTTGAGGCCTTTTTCGTAATTTCTCATTCATCCGATATTGGTTTTCGAAATACCAAATATCCCCTTCAATACATGTAGAGAAATCAAAATTCTCTTTCGGGGGCGTTGCCCCCTCGACCCTCGCGACCTGACCGGGCAGGTCGATCCCCGTTTGTGCGCCCCGAAGCGGCGAAGTGGCAAACAATTTTGCCTAAACGGATTGAGTCGAGCTTTTGAGTATTTGGCCGAATTTGATACGAACTTTAATCGATTTTCAATTCTCAATTTATTTAACCAATATCCAACAATGTATTAAACTACATAATCTAGAATGGTTATCTTATCTATTTACATTTTTCATTTTTCTAGAATTTGAAATGCCATGGTCATTGTTGGCTTGCACGGTGGGGCTTGCGGAGTTATGATGGTTGGGCACCTCTGACGGTAGAATGGTCAGGGAATACGACCATGGGTTTGGCGATCAAAGAAGTTTAGGTAGATAAAATTTATTTCTGTTTGGTACTTGTATTTTAAGGTTTTGTTTGAGCTTCATTATTTTCTCGTTAAAATAAAAAATATAATTGTTATCCATCACATTAAGTCACAATGTTTCACTTTTTATATCTTGTGTGGAGTCCATAAGACTATATTTTTCATTCTCATTTTTACAATAATGTGACTTAAATGAGAGCTAACATTTATTCTTTAAATTTATTTTTAATCACACATTTTATGAGATCCACAACTTATATCTACTTTTCAAACATGCATCATAAATATAAATATTTATTAAAAGATATAAAAAAAAATTGATTTTTAGTTATATCAAGGGCTTTATATAGAGTTTTGCCATACATACATCGGGGTTGACACTCCGATGTACACTCTTTTCACATGGGAGATCACAAGATTTTTTATTGTCATGGAGTACATCCCTCCATACGAGAAGAGTGTACACCGGAGTGTCAATCCTGATGTACAAATAACATTTTCCCTTTGTACATCTACTTATTGGTTTTTTTTATAATTATATTTAGTTTTTTATTTAAGTTAAAAGGTAAACTTATCTTTCGGGTAATTAATACAAAATGTTCTTAGTCTTCAATGGTATTGTACAAAACGTCCTTACATTTCATTCTTTGGCATTTTCACTTCTATTTTGACCTTTCACTGCAGGAAATGTCAATTTTCATCCAATTTCTTTATTAAAATATGTAAAATAACAACTATACCCAACTATTTAAATAAAGCAAAAAAAATAATAATAAAAAAAATTGCAATTATACTCTCAAACTTTTTAAAAAATTACAAATGAGTCAAAATAAATCATTAAAAGTGTAATTAGCACAAATGTCCATACTTTTTAATATTTTTATGCAAAACATCTTTATCTTTCATTTTTTGGCATTCTCATCCTTATTTTTACATTACAATATGAAAATCAGCGTTTTTATCCATTTTCTCAAAAAAATTGTAAAATGACGAATATACACTCATATTTACAGATTTTAATTGAAAAATTGATGAAATTGATGATTTCTGCAATGTAATGTTAAAATAAGGGCGAAAAATACAAAAAAATAAAAGGTTGGGATATTTTGCAAAATAATATTTAAAGGTGTGAACGTTTTTTACTAATCTTTAATAATTTATTTGGATTTGTTTGTAGTTTTTTAAAAAGTTTGAGAGCATAACTGCAATTTTTTTTAATTTTTCTTTTATTTAAATATAAGAGTATATTTGTCATTTTACTTTTTTAATTTAGAAATTAGATGAAAATGACATTTTTTCCAATGAAATGTGAAAATAGAGGGTAAAAATGCAAAAAATGAAAGGTAATAACGTTCTATACAATAACATTAAAAGGTAATAACATTTTTTTTATAGCTATCCCTTATCTTTTTATATTATATTGACAGAGTTTTTAAATGATATCATCCCTCATGATAATCTTTGCTAATTATTAAAAGAATTTTCCTAAGGGTACAGGATATTGGTTCACAAAATCCATATAGTTATCTCCATGTGATTGGTAACTGTCACCATTTTCCGTAAGTGTAGCAAGTTTCTATAAGAAGGTTGAAATTAAACAAGCCGCAAATCAAAAAGTTGAGGACAAAGCTGCTACAAGGGTTAAAGGTCAGGGCAACAAGAATTTTACCTATCCTTTATTCATTAATTTTTTTTGCCCTTGTCTGAGCCTCTTTTTCTCAACAAAATGTATTTTTCAATAATGGTTTAACTTCATTTTAATTTCACATTTTTAAATAAAATGGTATTATATGTAAATATAAATTTTTATCTTATTTTTTTAATCACACATTCTTGATCATAGTACTATTTCAAAATGTATTTTTTGAAAAAAAATGAGGCTCAAATAACCCCTTCACTTAGGCCCGTTTGACAGTTATTTTTATTTATTTATTTATTTATATTTTTTTGGAGAATGAATTTTTATAAGAACGTGTGATCAAAAAGTAGAAAAAAATTTGAATTTACGTGATAAATAATATTTTAGCATAAAAATGTGTGATATAAATGATTATGAAAAAAAGGAATTTTTAAAAAATAATTATCAAACAGAGCCTTAGTCTTGCCCTGAATCCTTAACTAGCTAGAAAATCTTGACCTCAGCACTTCGCCTTTTTTGATGTAGTTAAGAATTAAAATTTTAATACATTTTGATAAAAATAGAAAAGAAAAATTATGGAAAAATTGAAAATCTCATAAAGTATGGAAATAAAATTAACCACCGACTTTGATTTAGATTTTTTGCAAACGTATATACATCAAACAGGGGCAAACAAAAAGTGAAGGATGGAAGTGCAAAAGTATGAAAAGATTCAGGACTGTAACTGCAATTTTTGTTTTCAATTTTATCTCCTTCTTCACCGAGCCAAATTGGCAGTTAGGGTTTAATCCTGTAAAGTTTGCCCCTGTATACAGATTAGACATAAATATTTTAGGCCAGGAATTTTTTATACTCGACTTTGCGATGGCCATCAACAGTTGATTGGTGTTTCGCTCCACATTCATAGAGAAAACCATTCAGTAACTCATTCAGTTTGCTGATCGATTTTTCATGTACAAGTAGACGTGCACATTGCTTGGCTCTCACCGTGAAGACCAACTAATACACCATGGAAGCAGCTACTTCTTTGGTATGCTCAAGAGTCACACCTTTCGGGTTTTCGTTCTCGGCCAAACACTGTTTAACCCCATTCAGACCTTTCGACAAACAATTCGAAGACAGAAATTTATCTGTTAAAAAATCCTTCACCCAGAACAATCTTAAGCTTATCAGAACCCCTTTAAATTGCTCTGTCTTGCGTGCATCCAAGTCCAGCAACCCACGTGGGTTATCACTGAAGAGTTGTGATAATTCATTTCGTTTACAGTCATGTTTTCCATCACCGTTATCTGCTGCAAGTTCTGGGGTTACTAATCGTTTCCACCTGATCAGATGCTCGTATTCGAGTTCTGATGCAACGGGTGCTAATTCACATAATCCCTTGCTGGAAAGCCTCAGAAATTTCAATTTTGTGTCTTTGAAATCAACCCTTTTGCAGTTGACGCCGGTTGATGTTTGCAAGTGGTGTTTGATATTCTCTATTGCAATTGCAGCTTCGAAATGGAGTCTGAATTTATTGTTCAACCCATTTTTCTGGATGTATTTTAGTTGGACGTGGTTGTTCTGGCCATGGTTAGTAGCAATTGGCCTTGCGATTTATGGCCTTTATAGCTTTAACAAGCATTTAAGGGGTGAAGCCACTGTACTAGAGCAACTTGCCATCGTTACCTCAGCTTTCACTTGGCTAACATTAGTCCCGCCTGCTCATTTTAATGGCTTTCTGGAAGGATGGCCCTTTGTGTTCTTTTTTGTGTACCATTTTTTCTTTTTTCTCAATGTGAGTGTTCGAAAGCGATTATATGGTGATTATTATCCTAGGAAGCACAATACACAGTGGGACATTAGTCTTCCCAATTGGCAAAAGCTTCTGTTTTGCATTGGAGTGATGGTTGGACATTGGCTAGCAGCAAGTGAAGGGACAGAACTGCATCTAATTCCTGGTGGGTGGAACAATGTGGGTATTTGGCTTTTGATCATGTTAACCGTGTTCATGCAGTACCACTCCACCTTGTATTTGGCCAAGTATTCTGAGAAGGTGGTTGTGCCCACTGCTGTTGTCCAGTTTGGGCCATACAGGTTTGTTCGCCACCCAATTTATGCGTCAACAATGCTCCTGTTTGTTACATACTTCACTGCACTCAGAGCACCAATGAGTGCACTATTTATCATTGCGGTTTGTGTTATGTATTATGGGCAAAAGGCAAAATTAGAGGAGGCCTTGATGCTAGAGACCTTTGGAGAAAGGTATACTGAGTACATGGATAAGGTTAGGTACAAGTTCCTTCCTTTTGTTTTTTAATTTAAACAGTAGTCAGCCATGAAGAATTTTTCAATTTGCAAGAAAGGAACAAAAAATTTATCTTCAGCTTTTATGTTTACTGGTTTAATTTCAATTTCATCATTACCATTTATTTTGATTATAAATGGTTGTGCATTCATGCGACCTTAATTTGCATTATGTTATTGTCACAGTTGAGCACATAAATGCAGTTTTTTGATATTAGGTTGGTGCATATTTTCTGGCAAGAAACAAGTTTTATTGCATTAACATTCTAGACATGTAGATCTGGTAATGTTTCTACATGTCATTTTCTTCAAATTCTGTCACATGTTCGCCATTTTTCCCTCTTTAACATTTTCTGTTGTAAAAATATATTTCTTCCTATTATGTTCTCATTTCTTGAAATAGTTGCCGTAAAAAAATGTACCCTCTTCTGCCACTTGTTATGCTCATCTAATTTTTTGGAGAAGCTTCTATGAAGGTCGCTAAGTTTAGTCTAGCTTTAGTGGGTGTTATTCTGGATTGATCCAAGTTTGATGATAAAATGGTCTAGAAGGAAAGTAACATTTTTGACTTCTAACGGGGGAGGGTAATGTGCCAATGTTTTGCAAATGAACTGGTAGTTAATATTAGAATGAAATCCAGAAAAGGGCAAAGGGGCATATCAGTTGCAGTGAGTTGTGCTGTTGCTGTTATAGATCCATTTGCCCTTCCCCCCTGCTGTCATTAGCCCAGGGTTAAAAGCTTCGACTTGAAGGATTCCATTCTGTCAATAAAGTCTGTTCAACATGTTCAAATTGCTTGAACATGCATTCTGCACATAGCTTTTTCCGTGCTCTTCTTGCCTCCTAGCATCAACATTAAAAAATACTACAAGTAATTAAACCACAGTAAGGTGTGAACTATCACAGCCTTTCAGATGAGATCACAATGAAAGAACCCACACAAAGAGCATTCACATGCACTCTATCATCTTCACCTCCATGCATGGGTCCTAACACTCGTAGTCAAATGTAGAAATCCATGCTTCTTTAGGGATTAAATGTAGTAATCATTTACAAATTTAGTCACACATTAGCCTTATGAAATTGCTCCAAATTTAATTGCATCAATATGATGAAGCTTAATATGCCTTTTAATTATTCAACTTAAGAAGATTTTTGTCTCGAATTTAATTTGATGCATAGAACCTTATATTTACTCCTCTAAGTCACGTAGTGTCTGTTTTCTTCTTTATGCTTTATCCATCTCTAAACATTCCAAAACTTATATGAACATGTTTATCACAATCTTAGAGAAATTTACACACCACTAAATAAAATCGTAACAATATTTAGACTTATTGATCGATAATAAGCCTGGTCGAGTATTGTCTATTACCAAACATTCTACATTCATGTTGTACTTATTTCAAAGGTTTAATAGAACATAATAACTTGAAAATTCTTCTTATACATGTACATCACCATAATATTGATAGTAGATCCTCAAACCACCATTATTTTGAGAAAACATACTCAACATCACAAGGAAATGAAGAAGACAGCTTACTGAAGGCTGATTCTGCGCTTGATGAATTTCTTGACAATAGAACTCTCTTGAATCAGTACTCTATATTACCTGTGAAGAATCATGAGAGGTTGAAGTAAAGAAAAAAGGCTGATGCAAGAGGCGGTTCTCTAGCCACCTAGCATCATTGTCTGTAAATTTCCTTTATAAACATTTCTTAATCAATTCCAGCTGTACGCTAACATCACATGTGAACCGTTATAGTCTAAATTACATTTCAGAAGTAAATCATATATAAATCAATAATACATATGAAAATCTTACTTATCCCAATTTTACAAAGAATCTTAGATTGAATCACCAGATGTCGGAAAGTTTAATAGAAAACCTTCCACGTCATTTGGATGAAGCTGTTTTGACTGCCATATATTTTATGAATCGAGTACCTTCCTTTGTCATCTCAGATATTTTCTTCCCATAGCATCATCTGTGATAGTAATTCTCATTATACCATAGGTTTTCTGGAATTTAAATCATAAAATATCAATGTTGCAAACTTGCGATGATATGACCCTTGGATAGTTATGCACATGATAGGTATCCTAGCATTATGAAATCATTATCATGATTATGAGTATCTTGATATCATACTATAGTCGTCTTATATTCATGTCAGCATCATAATGCCTCATGGTCATCATGTTATAACATTGTCACCATTGCCAAGGCCCTCAAGGGAGTCCATTCATACATGTGCACTTTAAAAGCATGAATGTCACTGGCCAATATAGTGTGTGAATGCCTAGGTATTAAAGATTTAAATGGCTTAGTTCAATCCTATGTAGAACTCTTTAAGCATATAATTTAATTTAGTATTCTTCTCTTAAGGTTTACTATAAGAAATCCTTTTACTTCTTGATGGTTTTTGGAGTTTTCTCTTATTTGGGAAATCCCGTGTGTGGAAAAAATGGGTGGGTGGGTGGGTG